CTGGAAAATCATTAATTGTACACAATAGGGATGCTCCTAACCTAAATTTCTGATTACTAATTGCATCAAAAGACCATACACCTTATTCCCACAAAATCTTAAAGCTCATGTACAAGAGGCTGTAGGTATACATCAATGTCATTCCCTGGGCCTCTAGGGCCTGGAATCAATAGAGTGAGCATCATGTACGGTGGTTTCATGCACATTCAAGGGGGAAAGTTCTAAGGAATTACCATCACAGGCCAAATGCTGTTCACTGAGCTCAATGTAGAATGTGGTTCGAATCTATCACTTGCTAATGCTAATTGTACATTCCTTTTACCAGCTACAAAATCTAGATACATTTGATCAAAATATATCCAAGCTTCACCATCAGTTGGATGGTGAAGCATACCATCCTTAGTCCTCCCATCTGCATGCCATGTCATACTTTGGGCAGTTTTACTTGACATGAATAGTCATTGTAGCCTCGGGATGAGTAGGAAATACCATAATACCTTATTGGGTCGTTCTTTGAAGAGTTAGACTCCTAATCATACTCATCTACCTCACTACTATTGACATCCTTCCATCTTGATTTATCGCACTTGTCACACTTTCCTTTTCCTTATCATTACCCCAAAAAAGCATGCAATCATCTGGACACGCATCAATTTTCTCCATTATACACCCGATATTTGCAATTATCTTCTTGCATTGGGAGAAACTATTGGGGCATTTAGCATCCTCGGGCATTGCCTTTATGAATACTTTTAAAAGTTGATTGAAGGATACATCACTCCATCACTGTGAAGTGCTTATTTCCAAACCACAATGCTCATCTTCACCCTTAATGAACTGTAAAAAAGTTGTCATATACGCACACGACTCATCTGGTGATATTTCTGGTTCATCCCTTTGATTGTTACCCTCAAAGCACATGGGATAAATTTCCTCAAGTATCTTCCTTACATCTTCCCCAGCCCTCACATTTGCATTTAAACATGATTCAAATATGCTTGGACTACCATGTGGTATTCCCTCACCATGCTCAACCCAAACATTATAATTCTCCATCATCCCTCAATAAACACAGTGATTCACAACTTCCTTCCATTTTTGGAATCTCGAGTTGCAACACTTTTTGTAGGGACATTTAATATTGCATTGAGAATTAGCGGCACCATGTTTGAATGCATATAGCACCATTTTCATGACCCCTATGCTATATTCCTTAGTATTCCTGATCAAGCAAAGGCAATATATTTAGACCAATATTGACATTCAATTAATTATTTCCTTATACTTTCTTAAAACACATTGAGATTAATAAGAAAAATGATGAAGATTACTGAAGTGCCTTCATCCATGATTTGTTTGGATGGTCCTCCATTTTTTGGCTATCTATTTGCTTCAATCTAACAATACACATTCAAATGCTTCAATCTAAACAACACACATTCAAGTCTTTGAATGTTAGGGTTATAAAAGAAATGCCACAATGAATATCCTTGGATTCCTAATTTCTCCATGAAATCACCAACATCTACACATTCTAACGGCAATCATTTACTGAGTTTTCATTACCATTCTTTCTTCATTTGTAGTTTATCCAGGCCAACAAAGAGCTAAAGGTACAAACCTATCCAAATTTGCGAGGTCAATAAGTGTCAAAGGCTTCTTTACAGGATTTCATCTTGTAATTTGGTTGTTTCTATTATTTTCTGAGTAGAGTCCTAAATATGTGAAGGTATCATTGTATGATAATATAAATCTGTATATTTAATCTACAAATAAGGATGCAACTTGGACAAGCTCTAGTTAAGGATTTGTTACAACAAATTAACAATTGGTTCATCAACCAAAGGAAGTGGAATTGGCATAGTATTTCATTATTTATTGTCTTGTCACTTACCCATATTAATTTATACAACACCACATAAGATGGCATGCAATAGATTAATTTATACACACACGATATATTCATTAAGTAACTAATGGTTTGTGCATGAGTTCATAACAAACTTCCATAACAACACCACAAAGGAAATCTTCTAAATGGATGCCACAATAAAGAAGTTTAGTAAGCCAATTGACAAACTTGGGTGGGAGGAATAAAACTGATATGCAGAAAGCCCACTTAGGGACCATTTGATATCAGTTGAAGTGGATGTGTCGAATGGTTTGTTGCTTTGTCTTTTAGTGAATAATAAGTTATTAAGGAGGTCGTGAGCTGCTGAAACTGAAATTGGATTGATTATCATATACTTAAATATTATATTATTTAATTATTTTATCTACTAAAAGACAAATCAACAAGTCATTCAATTCATCCACTTGGCTCTTATCAAATGGTCCCTAGTAGAAACTAAATTGTTCATAGAGTTACATTGGAAAAGTAAGGTCTTGTTATTTTAATGTGTAAAATTATAATGCAACTTACCATGCTATGATATGGGATTAGGTAACATTTGCTAGCCTAATAATGCAGCTTTAATCATTTGTAAATATTTTATCAAGGGACCATTACTTGGTGTAATGATAAAATCTGAGGCTATCAAGCATGAGAATGTGGGTTCAAATATGAGAGCAACCATTTTGTGCAAATAAAAGAAAAAGAAAAAATGCAAAAGATTAGGACCATATCCAGTCTACCCCTCCCAAGACCCTAGGTATCTACCAATGTCGAGTAATGGTCTTTAATAACTAAAAGTTATCACCATTACCAATCCAAAAAAAAGACAAAGAAATAATCTTAGGAATCACTCCAAGGAGACCTAGGACCACTCTAAGATTTCAATGGAATCACTCTATAGGCATGCATGCAAGAGAAATCAATATTCAATCTTTCATTCATTCATATCCTTCAATAGTAAGATAATAGAATAATGAGTTCGACCATAATACCGAAAAAAACTTATAACCAATCAACAGATATCATAAAGGTGGTATTCATCAAAATCCCCAAGGGGTTTTAGTTGGTCAAAGCTCTTCCGGTATCATATATTTCTAGCATCATAGATTTACCCATGAATAATCTATAGGTAAAAGAATTATTATGAAACACTGTTCATCATAACTACAAAAAAAAAAAACATTGGACCATAAAAATAAGAAAATATATAGCATCTAGAACTTCTTGTCTACTAAACTTGTGACTATGATAATTGAAAATTAACCGCATAACAACTAGACAATTGATTGCTATTTACTAAACCCTCATTACTAGTAAATTAAAAATGACAAAAACTTAATGATAAGTAAAAATTTAGTAAAATACAAAATAATTTAAATAAAAAAATAAAAATTAATACAATGAGGGTCAACCCAATCCCATCCGTAAGTCTCAAACCTCGAGCTCAAGCTTGCCCAACTCAAGGTTAAGCCCGAGTTCACTAACTTAGGCCCAACCTGAGTTTAACCCAACATCTTGAATATGGGTTAGGCATGCTGAGCTTTATAGCTCGATTTCCAAGTAGAATAGATTGATAATATAGATATGTATATCATAAAATGTTGGATGGGCTCAAATTGGGTCAGGTTGTGCTTGAGCTACTTAAGGTGTCAACCCAAGCCTAATTTGAGTTTAAGTTAGGTCTAAGTTTTTTGGCCTAGTCCACCTTAAAGTTTGAAAACTCAAGCCCAACATATGCAAAAGCTTTAGTTGAACCAAATTGGGCTCAGGTTAACCCACTCAAATTATACCCCTATCTCTTTTTGCATCAAATTCTTTTAACAAACCTCGTGCATCGCATAGATCTCTGCTAATCTAACCCATATACGCTGGTAGAGTTTTTGCTAGTAATACGTAACCTAAAAGTGAGTTAAACTTTGATCAGTTTAGCTATAATTAGGGGTGTTCATTGTATGTTTCAAATCACAAAACCGAATTGAACCAAACCAAATTTGTAGTTTGGTTTGGTTTACATATATAAAAACGGTTTGGCTTGGTTTGATATTTTCTGAATTTGCACTTTACGATTTTGGTTTGGTTTATTAGATTTTATAACTCAAACCAAATTGTAAACCATAATGTATATATCTCTCTCTCTATATATAATCCAAATATATAAAATTATAAATATATAATAACTTGTTTAATTTTATAATAAAATAATAAAATAAAAGTTTTTACCTTTAACCTTTTAGGGGTGTTATTTGGGCTTTCTAATTGGATTAAGCCAGATAGGATCATATAATGGCCCAAAGTCCCTAAACTGCATTAGAAACCACACCAAATCGTAATTTACTCTAATTTATAACGGTGCAAGTCGGGATGGGGTTGGGCTTATGGTCAATCCGGGCTTGACCCTAAAGTTTGGGATTAAAGCCTGAGCCCGAGCTCAAGCTCGATTTTCCTAACCCAAGCTCAGCCCACAATGTAGTTTGATGCACTCGAGTTGGTCAATAAACCCACTCTAAGATTATACATACATACATACATATACATATACATATACATACATATACATATGTATGTGTTTATGCAAATATGTATACATATATTTAGGTATATATGTATGCAAAATATATATGTAAATAGTAAATGTGTATAGAAATACATATATACAAAAGTAAATATATATGCAAAATTAACATATATATACATATGTGTATAGTTTGGGCCGGGCTCGGGCTAGGTTCAGGCTAATTAAGGGTTAGGCCCGGGCCTAACCCAAAAAATAAAAAAACCTAATTTCTTGGGCCCAAGCCCAACCCAAGGACCAAAAATCTAAGCCCAGCCCGTGGAAAATTTTAGGTTGGGCCGGTTCGGACTCGGGTTAGCTGCCCAAGTTACACTGGTTTGGTGATTTTTCAAACTTTAGGGCCATTTGGCAAGTTTGGCTACCGCGCGTTTGACTACCGAGTATTTTGCATGAAAATCTGAGTAGTCCGAAGCTAGTTTGGCTACTGCGCGTTTTTTCGCATCCAAAATAAGCTTTTTGCGTTTGTTTTTTTTCGACGCACCGACTTTTGGTTGCTAGATAAACGAAGAAAAAGACCGCGACGCGATTTGCTTGGCTTGTAAACAGCGCGCGGAAAGATGCGCCAAACGGGGCAGGTTTGGTCTGACATCTTCTCCAAACCGCTCCGAACCGGACCGTAAACACCCTTGCAGTAAAAGCTATGTAGGGCTCCTTCTGCTTCAATTTCGCTGAGCAAGTTGGCTGTTGTGGAAGAATCCTCCGGGGCAGAACTCAGAGGGGGTTTTTGAGCTGAGATGGAGGAGTTGGAGGAGGTAGCTGTGGGCCAAATCCCACGCACGAACGCGCGGCATATTAAGAAGAGAGCTCTCAAGAACAAAGCTCTCTCTGTCACTTTCAATGAAAAAGATCTCAGGCATATGACTCTTCTTCTATTTTTTCTGTTTATTGTTGAAGTTCACAGAGAAGATTTGGTAGTTCTTCTTTTTTCTTCCTTTCTGATTCAGGACTAAAATAGGGTTTTTGATTTGGGTAGGGACTTTGTCACTGGTTTTCACAAGAGAAAGAAGAAAAGGAGAAAGGAAGCACAGCATAAATTACAAGAGAAGGAAAGACTCAGGCGTATTCAGGCCCGTAAACAGGTTCATTTTCCCTATTCTCCATTTGTTGCAGTACATATATGTTTGAAGCTATCGAACATTTGAAGTTTTCAGGACGATGAGAAGGAAATACAATGAACTCTTGATTTCTTCAAAAGTGAAGACAAAAAAGGAACAATAGAGTTAGATACCTGGTAGACCTGCTGGAACCATTGTGGTATTGATTAATAGCCAAACTGGTTGAAAGAAAAGCAAAGAAGCAATCATAGCTATAGTGGTAAGAAATACCCAACTGAGAATAACTGATGAATACCATACCTGAGCACAGATTGAGTTTCTTAAGTCATGTTCGCTTTGAATCAGCAAGGGCCAAACACCGAATTCTCTATAAATACCTAACTTCTGCCCCAGCTTCCTCCCATTGTCGGGCTCCATATTAAAGTTTATTTTCACCCTTCTTCTGCGCATCCATCTATTTGATTAGATGATCGTTCTTGTCTTTTCATTTCTTTCCAGACACCTATTTCTTGCCTTCAACTTTAAATTTCAAGGGCAAGTAGTATATCAGTGTGCTTGTTGAAGTGTGTGTGATAAGGGGTAATCCATCCTCCATTTGAAATATAATCCTTTTTTCAAGTTGCTAATGTTTTTCTCAGAATTTTCTACCACTATATCCTGAAGGTGAAAACCATCCACTTTGGGTTCCCATCAAGAGGAAGCCTAGGTATATCAAAAAGGGCAGCTTTTTCCATAAACAACAAAGATACTACTTGAGTTTTCTCATGTTCTCCTTGTCACGTTAGTGCCTTCATCCACTTTTATTCAGATATACTTTGAGTCTTGAGAATCAAACGATGTCAAGTCATTAAACAATAATCTCAAAGATTCAAATATCTTTTCTCCTTAAGCTTCTTAATCGAAATGCCTCCTTTAAAATTGAATATAGGAAAATTGAAACCTTCATCCTTGTGCTGAAAGTTGAAACTCTTAAGAAGCCACAACCTCAGCTTTTTGGATAAAATATCTCTGTGTTTTTTTTCCTTGTCTTTGCTGTAATTAAACTAATCAAATTTCATGATATTTATTGAGCATAGAAAATGTATATAATTTACCTGAGAAGTGATGTAGGGTAGGATGATGAATGTCCTACTAGGGTGAACGTGGTGGTAAATAAGGGGGATCTATTATATGAATTGTGCAAGAAAAAGATTTGGGTTCAAAATTGACAAAAACGAGAAAAAATATTGCATCTATGGAAGAAAAGATACAAAGGAGAAGATGAAAATTTTATAGACAAGTAGCTTCAAATAAAGTTTTCATTCCATTAAGTCTCATTCAAATTCCAATTGCAATGACTATCTATATAGACATATAATGGCTCAAATCTCCCGTTACAGACTGCAAACTCAACCATGATACTGACACAAACAACTTTTTACTGTTCTGAAACTAAGACAAACTCATATGGAGACACTCAAACAAGGACTCTTAACTCTGAAAACAGCTCTTATAATCTGTAATTCATCTTATTATAACTAAACAAACCAAAAACAACTCAAGGCAGGTCCTAAGAAATAGGAAGATTTAAATCATATTACAAATTGAGTAATTGACACTATTAGTAAAATGATCATAACTATCTCAAAATAGGATGATAATTATCTCAAAAGCTATCTAATAACCAGATAACACTAATATGATGCAAAACAAATAAGTCTTGATCCCTGTAGAATAGATTGGAAAGTGATGTGGTTACATTTTCAATTTTTCAAAAATTGGAAAAACTCTCTAGTAAGACTCATTCAAACTGATTTGATCTTGAAGATAACTAATTGTATTTCTAAGACGGTGACAAACTAAAAAAGACCTGAAAAAACTAATAATAATAACAAAATCCAAATCACTTAGAAATTACGATTGCCATTGGTTCAAAACATGAGGAAACTTGGTTTCTTCTTCAATAGCTTCTTTCTTTGCTTTCATGCTTGCAACAACATGCCAAATGATTGGCTGAAGCTTTAATGCTTTACCATACTTTTCTTTCCTACCATCCTACCCAATAGAGACTTCTATCAAATACTGAAATTCATTCAACTCAAACCAATCTATTTGGGGATAAAGGGTGCCTTGCAGAACCTTCTTATTTAGACTTGGAATTACCAACATGAATCTTAATTGTCAACTTGGTGTTCCGCCATATCTTGAAGCCATGTCTTCTATTAGCTAAAATGAGAAATTCTTAGAGCTCTATCTACACCACTAAAAGAAAACTAATAAATGGTTTTTTTGATTGGTGAAAATGAGTAAATGATTATCAACATCTTCATACTAATTAAACCATTGGATGTGTTACCTTTAAAAGTTTTTTATGTTGAAGACCTTTCTGTGTTTATGTGTTGGGCCTGGCCAACAATATCACCATTTATAGAGGACTCGTGTGTGTGTGTACAATATACAGAGGGAGGGAGGGTGATCTGGATCCACTATATTCCTTGTAGTAGAACTGTTGTAAGAAGGTATTGTTCTCCTTTCAGTATAGTTATTATATTTATTACTTTGGGGTTTTCCCTGTTAGTGGAAACAGGTGGTACCCAAATAATTACCAAAAACAAGTGACAGAAGAACAATTTTCATTTTATAGTGCCTATTGTGAGGTGACTGGTAATGGACTGATAGGCTATGGGCTTTTATGTTAACCTGAAACTGGCAAATTTGAGTTCCTGTACTTTGGTTTACCATGGTGGGACTGGGTTCTGCAACAATTGCCATTCAATAGACTTGGCATTTGACCTTAAAACCTTGAAGAAACCTAATTTTTAACTGCTCATTATAAGTCTGTTAACTGATCTTGTCTAGTCAATTAACCATGGTAGCATGGCTCATCGCATCGCCACCACTGTAGTTCATTCTCTAGGCGACGTTCACCTGTAATATCTGGAATCTAGATATCCATGCATACTTAGCATATCAATGTTCAATACAATACAACCTGATACAATCACATACTTCATAGTGGTATTACTAGGAAAAGTTTTTTTTTTTTGATGAATAATAATAAATTTATTGATTCAGAAGCAAATTTAGAGTGAGTTCATACATCATCCCAGCGAGAGGCGCGAGCTGCAACCCCTCCTTGAATCTTACAAGTAAACTAGGAAAGAAAAACAAGAATCACAACTGAGCCCAAAATAATTCTTCCCTATTTACCCCTTGCTTA